GACTCCACGGTCTGTCGGTCAGCTGGGCGCCAGTGCACCGAGCTCCGTGCCTGCGGCTTCCCGCTGTGTGTGCTCCCAGGTCTCAGACGGTGGGGTGGGCATGGGCACGGGCTCAGAAGCTGTGCCATGTGGCTCTGCAGGTTCCAGGGTGGGCCCTGGCGGGACTGCACCCACCGCCCGGAGGGCCACGAACCGCGGACTGCCGCCCTGCACGTCCACACGGGCTCTCGTCAGACGTGCTGTTGCCCAAACAGCTCTCAGGACGTAGAGGTTGAGTGAAACCAGAGTCGGTAGCATCTTCAGCCGTTTCCCACTCAGTGAGGGCAGGTGCCTCGGGCCGGAGGGCATGCACACGCTGTGCTTTGAGTGCCCCAGGGCAGCGGCAGGTGGAGCTCCTGCTGGCCGCGGGCTCTGGCCGAGGCTGTGACCAGAGAGGTGACTGTTGGAGGAGGAGGAGGAGGAGTTTTGCCCTGTGTCCTCCGTGGACTGACTGAGCGTTTACTCACGTTTCAGTTCTAGGAACATCAGGGCAGGGTTTAACTGAGAGCGAGTCTCTTACTGAACTGCCCCAATGTTAAATGACTCCCTGTTGTTCCCATGGTGACAAGTAACCTTGTGCCTCCCGCTGCAGCCAGGAGGCGGGTGTGCCTGGGGGCACGGGCGCCCCGGAGAGCCTGACCTTCAGGGAGCGCCAGCGCCTCTTCTCGCAGGGCCAGGACGTGTCCAACAAGGTGAAAGCCTCCCGCAGGCTCACGGAGCTGGAGAACGAGCTGAACACCAAGTGACGAGGAGGCCCCGGGCGTCCAGGAGCGGCCGGGGTTCAGGACGTTCCGCGGGAACTCTGATCACCGGCGAGGCCACGTGCCCAACGGACACTGGGCTCCTAGTGACCTGCTCCCTCCGAGACCGTCGGGGGCCTCAGCCGGGGGGGGGCGTACGGGGGGGGGCTGAGGCCGCTCCCCTTCTCCCAGGAGCTCCGAGCCCGTTTCTCTCTCAGAAGCCTGTTCCCGCTCCGAGAATAGCTTGAACTACCGAGGACTGTGCACCACGGGGGCAGCTGGCTGTGGAGGCCCGGTCTCTGCCTGGAGAACAGCCTCCCTCCTGCCCGCCTGCTCCTCAGGTGTGAGCCCTCTGACCGCTTACCTGTTTGGTGGGAACTTTCTCAACCGAACATCTTGAGGCTTTAAGCTTAGGCAGTTTTATTTTTATAAAGGCCAGATTACTTATATTAAACCACTGGTGATTCTGAAGGTGGCGGTTAGCGTTAGGACGCTGGCTGTTTCCATGCTCCTGGGGATGGAGGGGATCGTGCTGAGGGAAAGGAGCAGGTGTCGGGATGAGTCCCGGGGGAGGGGGGGGGGCGAGGAGCCGCCGCTGCTCAGGGATTTTCCATTCGCCGAGGACGCCGGGAGGCTCTGCCCGGCCCGCTCCCGTCCTGAGGAGGACTGTGGCAGTTCAAGCTATTTCCGTGCACTCGGGTAGGATTATTTAATTTCCATTGGTTGAATTATTAGTTACACTGTTTCTTCAGCTGTGACTGGCTGATGTCGGAGACGGACCTCACTTTGGTTTCTCTTTGTGATGTTAAATGGTAAATTACTTGTGATTATGAGCAAATTTCCTCTGGACAGAGCCCTGAGGCGCAGTCAGTAGGGAGGCTTTTCTGTACCAGGCTGCCCTCAGAAATGTGCTAGAAACCGCACACTGCACAGGGGGCGGGGCTTCCGGCCTGGGAGCCTGGGTGAGCTGTAGGGTCGCGTCCTCGCGGCCAGGGCTCTGGTTGGGGGTGTGAGGTGGGCGAGGGGCCTGATGGCTATGAAGGATCGCACGGTGCTGGCGGCTAGAGATCAGGCTCCTCCCAGGCACCTAGAGACACTGGCAGCCTCACGGGGCGAAGCCCACCGTCCCCCAAAAGATGCTGCGGACCAACTGCTGTTCTGTCCCATGGCAAGGCCCACGCCTGCCCGCACGCGCACGGCTGCGGACACTGCACAGGCGGCGGCTCCGCCCGCTGCCCTCCAGGCGGGCCGGCCTTCCATGTCTGCACTACTGCGGCCCATCAACTGCTGTAGCTTCCGTTCTACTGTATCCAGCCCAGCCTGTTTTTAATAAACTTTGTACCTATTTAAGTCATTTGCTGCTGTTGGTTTTAATAGCATGGCCAGATTATGCTTATGACACCAGCCTCCTTCCCCACCCCCTCCTGCCTGTCTGTCATGTCATTCACTGAGCAGGAGCCGGTGCCCGGCCTTCGGCAGTGCTCCCGGATGGCCCCGTGGAGCAGGCAGATGCAGCGGGACCGCGGTGGGGGGAGGGGGCACAGGCTCTCATGTGGGGCCCATTGTCCTCATGCAGGCAGGGCCCCTCACTCGGCCAGCAAAGGAGCACTGGTTCTGTGTCCCCACAGCAGGTCCCAGAGACAATACCGAGCTTACGTACAGGTGCAGCCGGTGACGTGATCGGAGAGCGCCACAGGGTTTGGACAGGTCGAAACGAAGCCTCGGACTAAGAGAGGGCAGTCCTCTCTCTCTCGACCTCATGCAAGCCCTCCCGGCACCGGGACAGCCAGCAGCCGTGGTTGTGAGCGTGAACCTGTGGTCCGAACACGTGGCCCCAGGTGCATGTAGTTGAGGATCGAATCCCACGAGAATGCTGTAAGCATCTTGACCACGCTCTTACTTTGCCTTGTGGCATCGGCTATAAAATAAAGACGGCTTGTAGCCCGTGACGCTGTCGCTAGCTCTCCATCAGAGAGGGCAGTGTCCCTCCAGACCCAGCTTTGTTCTCATCTGTCTTCTCAGTCCTCACCGCCCTCTCAGGCTCACTGAGCCCCGCTGAGCTGGCGCGGCACCGAAGGCGGCCTGGGCTGAGCGGCCGTGGCCGTGCCGCTCCCCAGTCAGAGAGTGAAATTCTAACCTCCAGGGAGCAGGGCTGCTGAGGCGGAAGTTCTGTGCCCTCCCCCCCTTCGCCCCCCGAGGCAGGCTGCTGAGCCCGGAGCCTGGCCTGGCCTGGCCCGGCGCCCCGGCAGGGCCGTGCGGTGGGCGATGGCACCTGGTGCTGGTGTGAGCGGTCTGACGGCAGGTGCAGGACGTGGGCAGGGGCCATCAGGGAGCAGCCTTCCTCTAAACAGGCCCCCGGGCGCGGCGCCTGGTCGTCTGGCTTTCTCACGTGGTCCTGGAGGCCGTGGGCGGAGGGCTCACCTGGCTGGTGACGTGCCCAGCTTCCCCGTGGACATGAAAGGTGACCGGCCATCGAGGTCTCCCACAGCACTGGAGCGGGGAGCACGGAGGTTAGCGGTGGCTTTGGAGGGTGCTGCTCCCGTCCACCCCGGCAGCCCCACGCGCAGCCAGCCGATGGCACGCAGAACAGGCTGGGGGCCGACCGCGGGAGCCCAGCGGGCGCGGGTGCGGGCGTGGGCTCGTGTCCGTGCGTCTTGGTTTTGTTTGTTCCTTCGTCTCGATTTCTGTTAAGTATCGCCACCTGAACACGAAATGGCGAAGAGGAGCCCTGGAATGGCCCACAGCTGGAGGGCTGTGGCCGCAGAGGGACAGTCAACGAGCCCGATGCTCAATCACCTGGAAGGAAGCTCTGCCGGGCTCCCCTCCAACCAGTTCCTTCCCCGCTCGCGGCCCCAGAGGGACAGGGGGCGCCCCGCGGGAATGGGGGGCAGGCCGCCCCGTCCCTCCGAGTGATGCCCGACCAGGGGCTTTGGGAGCCCCGTGGAGCGTGGACGGGACCCTGTGTCCCTGAGCCCCTGCCTGGGCCGGCTGTCCTGGGTCCCCGCCCCACGTGGGCAGGGGGACGGGGGCAGGGTGGCCTGAGCCCCTCAGCAGGCAGAGCTGCTCCAAACACCGGCCTGGCGCTGGGCGTCACTGAGGACGGATAGCAGGGAGGGGGGCTCCCTGAGGGGGGTGTCTGAGGGGGAGGAGGGCCCGGCAGGCAGCCATGTCTGAGTCCGCAGCTGCCATCAAGTTTGGAAAAGATGAAGGTGCAGAAGCCCAGGAGGGAGCTGGCCAGGCTGCCTGGCTGCCGCCCCTCTGCCTGCTCCACCCCTTTCCCCTTGGCCCCGCCCCCGTCGGCCCTCAGCCCCGCCCCTCCCAGTTCCCGCCCCCCTAACGCCGGCCACGCCCCCTCCCTGCGGGCTGTGGGGACCGGCGGAAGCGGGTGACACACTCCGCATTTGTGTCCGTTTGGTGTCCACTTTGTGTCCATTCTGTGTCCAAAGCACCAGGGGCCGCCGCTCTGAAAGGTGCTCAGAGCCACGCGGGTCCCGCCCCGCGCTCCGTCCACTGAGCTCCCGGCCCTCCGGTCCCGAGGGGCCCCCGCCGGGCCGGGCCGGTGCTGGAGCCGGTGCTGGAGCCGGTGCTGGAGCCGGGCCGCCCTGGCGGTGCTGGGGGCGAGGACGCTCCCCGCACCCCGACCTGCTCCGGTCCGCGGCCTGGGGGGTTCGGGGGGCCTGGGGGGCGGGAGTCGGGGGGCCTGGGGGGCAGGGGCGGGGGGGCCTGGGGGCGGAGACCTGGGGGCGGGGACCTGGGGGGTCAGGGGGCCTGGGGGGTCAGAGGACCTGGGGGCGGGGCCTGGGGGCGGGGACCTGGGGGGTCAGGGGACCTGGGGGGTCAGGGGACCTGGGGGGTCAGGGGACCTGGGGGCGGGACCTGGGGGGTCAGGGGACCTGGGGGGTCAGGGGGCCTGGGGGCGGGGGCCTGGGGGGTCAGGGGACCTGGGGGCGGGGCCTGGGGGCCCAGGAGGTCGGGGCGGAGGAGGAGCGGGCGCTCCAGGCGGCTGTTCTGTCCGAGGCGCGCGCTCCCTCTGGCGGCCTCGCGGGGAGAAGCGGGGACGTTGGCGCTTCGCCCGAGGGGACCGGCCCGGGGCCGGGGGCGCGGCTTTGGGGGAAAGGCCCCCGCTTACTCCTCCCGCCCTCGGCGCCCGAGACCGAGTCCCACGTCCAACCCCCAACTCCCAACCCCCCACCCCCGTCCGCAGCCCCCAGGCCCGAGGGCGATGCCGGCGGCGCGCGGCGGGCGGTGGGGGCGCCTTCCCGAGCGGAGGGCGCAGCAGCTGCAGCGGCAAATGCAGGTGAGGGGGGTGACCCCCGGGAGCCTGCCCTCTGACCCCCCGCCCTCCGACCCCCACCGCCGAGCACAGGCCTGGGAGCGGTCGGGTGGGTTTGGGGGTCCTACCGAGGTAAACAGTAGTCACCAGCATGGAGTGGGGCCCACATCGTCTCCCCTAACCACTGGGCTCCCCCTGCGGCACCCTCGGGGGGTGGTGGGCTGCCCGGGTCTCCCCCATCCACTCCTCTCCCCCTGACCCCTCTCCACCAATGCCACACCCCACCCGCACCCCCATCGAGGCCCCTGCCACCCTGAGTGCTGTGCTCAGTGCCGGAATGGGGGGCCAGGCATGACTCCAGTGAGGGAGCCCAGGACACGGTGGTGAACACCCAGGCCGGTGGGCACCGTGGGCAGCAGCGCACCTCCCATCGGGTGCAGCCACGGGGCCGGGCCAGGGGAGGGCGAGGAGCTAGGAGGGGCTGTGTGAGCTGAGGGCCGCTGGAAGAGAAACGCTGAGCTGGCCGTGGCCGTGGCCGTGGCCCTGGGACTGGGACTGGGGAGCCTGGGGCAGGCAGGTGGAGAGGCCAAGGTCAGCGCCTGGCGGGCAGGCGGGGCTGATGAAGGGGCGGGAAAGAGGGAAGTCGCAGGAGATCCGTGTGTGGAAAAGTGCACTTCGGGGAGCGAGGTGGGCGGGCGGCGGGGCTGGAGGGGGGAAGATGGAGGGGTGGGGGGAGGTGGGGGCGGTGGGTAGATGGTTGAGGGTTGGGGGGAGGTGGGGGCGGTGAGTAGAGGGTTGGGGGGATGGAGGGGTGGGGAGGTGGGGGCAGTGGGTAGAGGTTTGGGGGTTAGGGGGATGGAGGGGTGGGGAGGTGGGGGCGGTGGGTAGAGGGTTGGGGGTTGGGGGATGGAGGGGAGGGGAGGTGGGGGCAGTGGGTAGAGGTTTGGGGGTTAGGGGGATGGAGGGGTGGGGAGGTGGGGGCGGGGGGTAGAGGGTTGGGGGTTGGGGGGATGTGGGGGGTGGAGGGGAGGGGAGGTGGGGGCGGTGGGTAGGGGGTTGGGGGGATGTGGGGGGATGGAGGGGAGGGGAGGTGGGGGCGGTGGGTAGAGGGTTGGGGGTTGGGGGGATGTGGGGGGATGGAGGGGAGGGGAGGTGGGGGCAGTGGGTAGGGGGTTGGGGGTTGGGGGGATGTGGGGGTGGGGAGGTGGGGGCAGTGGGTAGGGGGTTGGGGGTTGGGGGGTGGAGGGGTGGGGAGGTGGGGGCGGTGGGTAGAGGGTTGGGGGGATGGAGGGGTGGGGAGGTGGGGGCGGGGGATAGAGGGTTGGGGGTTGGGGGGAGGTGGCGGGGAGGGCTGTCCAGGCAGGGCTTGGGCAGGGAGGCAGTGGGAGGCCGCTGAGGGTCGGCCCCAGCAAAGCAAGCAACTCTGGTGAAAACGGTGAAAGCCTCGGGATTGCCACGGGCACACGTCCAGGAGGAGCTGAGAAAACCCATCACGTCAGAATGAGGACGAGCCTCGCAGCGAGGGTGGGCGCCCAGGAGCCGCTGGCGGAGCCCCTGGAACGGGTCCCGGGCTCGGGGGTGGGGCTGGCGGGTGCCCTCTCGCCGACCCCTCCCCACAGCCGTGCCCAGGCGCCTGCATGTCCGCGGACTCGGTCCTGGGGGGATGGAGATGCTCGGCTCTGACCTGGACGGTTCTCTCTCGGTTGAGGCCGAGCTGGAGGCGGAAACGCGGTCCTTCACCTGAGGCTGGCCCAGGTGACACCCCGTCAGGCTGCCTCAGCGTCATTGTCCGCGGCCCTGCCTGCCCCGTCTGCAGCCGGAGCCCCCCCCCCCCCCCCCCCCCGCCCCCAGCGGTGCGGCTGGGTAAAGATGTCGTGCGTTCTGTCAGCAGGGGGCCGGGCGGGGGCTGTCCGCACGTGACTGCTTGGGCTCCTGTGAATCCCCCACTGGCCTGGCCCCGTCCCTGAGAGGCCCAGCGTGCCCCCTCGTCCCCTGAGGTTTGCAGGGTGTGTAACGGGTCGGGCTTGTCCCTGCCCAGCAGCCCGGCCGCCGGGACCCTGAGCAGACCAGGGCTGTGGGTCCGGGAGGAGGAGGAGGCTCAGTGGGCAGTGCCGGGAGGCTCTCCTTGGGGCGGGGCCCGGAGCACGTGGGCCCTGAGCCGTGTGGCCTCCCGCTGAGCCCACGTTCACCTCCAGACCGGCAGCGGGAAGACCCACACGATGCTGGGCCCGCAGCCCCCAGGCACCGGGCCGGGCACCGGGGCCTCGTCCCCAGGGCCACCGAGGAGCTCTTCCCGTGGGTGCGAGCCGCTCGGGCGCCTGGGGCGGGTCGGGGGCTGGGGCGGCGTCGGGGGCTGGCTGAGGGGGGCTGGGGCGGCGTGGGGGGCTGGCTGAGGGGGGCTGGGGCGGGGCGGGGGCTGGGGCGGCGTGGGGGGCTGGCTGAGGGGGGCTGGGGCGGCGTGGGGGGCTGGCTGAGGGGGGCTGGGACGGCGTGGGGGGCTGGGGCGGCGTGGGGGGCTGGCTGAGGGTGCGGGGTGAGGGGGGCGTGAGACTGGGGTGCCCGGCGAGGTGGCTGCTGCCCGGCGCCGTCCACGGTCCACAGACTCAGCCGGTGCTTGGGGGAGGGTGGGCACACCTGGTTGGCTCCCAGGTTTTCCCGTTTAGACCTCCCGTCCTGGGGCCCAGCAACCCCGACGCTGAGAGTGCGGAACGCAGACTCGGCCGACCAGCTTTTCCCGGAGAATCTGACTGCTCCTTCCGTCCCCGCTGCTCCTGGCCCAGGCCCATCTCCGTCCCAAGGGCGGGAGGAGGGGGCCCCAGGGCTCAGCCTCCCAGTTTCAACTTGGCTCGCTGTCCGCCCTCTGTCCACCGCTGTCCGCCCGCTGTCCGCCCTCTGTCCGCCGCTGTCCGCCCGCTGTCCGCCCGCTGTCCGCCCGCTGTCCGCCCGCTGTCCGCCCGCTGTCCCCTGCTGTCCGCCGCTGTCCGCCGCTGTCCGCCGCTGTCCCCTGCTGTCCGCCCACTGTCCGCCGCTGTCCGCCGCTGTCCCCTGCTGTCCGCCCACTGTCCACCGCTGTCCTCCGCTGTCCGCCCGCTGTCCGCCGCTGTCCGCCCGCTGTCCGCCCTCTGTCCGCCCGCTGTCCGCCCTCTGTCCACCGCTGTCCGCCCGCTGTCCGCCCGCTGTCCGCCCGCTGTCCGCCCTCTGTCCGCCGCTGTCCGCCCGCTGTCCGCCCGCTGTCCCCTGCTGTCCGCCGCTGTCCGCCCGCTGTCCTCCGCTGTCCGCCCGCTGTCCGCCGCTGTCCGCCCGCTGTCCGCCCTCTGTCCACCGCTGTCCGCCCGCTGTCCGCCCTCTGTCCGCCGCTGTCCGCCCGCTGTCCGCCCGCTGTCCGCCCGCTGTCCGCCCTCTGTCCGCCGCTGTCCGCCCGCTGTCCGCCCGCTGTCCGCCCGCTGTCCCCCGCTGTCCTCCGCTGTCCGCCCTCTGTCCCCTGCTGTCCGCCGCTGTCCGCCCTCTGTCCGCCGCTGTCCGCCCGCTGTCCGCCGCTGTCCGCCCGCTGTCCCCGGCTGTCCGCCGCTGTCCGCCTGCTGTCCGCCCGCTGTCCCCTGCTGTCCGCCGCTGTCCGCCCGCTGTCCGCCCGCTGTCCCCCGCTGTCCGCCGCTGTCCTCCGCTGTCCGCCGCTGTCCGCCGCTGTCCTCCGCTGTCCGCCGCTGTCCTCCGCTGTCCGCCGCTGTCCTCCGCTGTCCTCCGCTGTCCGCCGCTGTCCGCCCGCTGTCCTCCGCTGTCCTCCGCTGTCCGCCGCTGTCCGCCCGCTGTCCGCCCGCTGTCCGCCCGCTGTCCTCCGCTGTCCTCCGCTGTCCGCCGCTGTCCGCCCGCTGTCCGCCGCTGTCCTCCGCTGTCCGCCGCTGTCCGCCCGCTGTCCTCCGCTGTCCTCCGCTGTCCGCCGCTGTCCGCCCGCTGTCCGCCGCTGTCCGCCCGCTGTCCTCCGCTGTCCTCCGCTGTCCGCCCGCTGTCCGCCGCTGTCCGCCCGCTGTCCGCCGCTGTCCTCCGCTGTCCGCCCGCTGTCCTCCGCTGTCCGCCCTCTGTCCGCCGCTGTCCGCCCGCTGTCCCCCGCTGTCCGCCGCTGTCCTCCGCTGTCCTCCGCTGTCCGCCGCTGTCCGCCCGCTGTCCTCCGCTGTCCTCCGCTGTCCGCCCGCTGTCCGCCGCTGTCCTCCGCTGTCCGCCCGCTGTCCGCCGCTGTCCGCCCTCTGTCCGCCGCTGTCCGCCCGCTGTCCGCCCGCTGTCCGCCGCTGTCCTCCGCTGTCCGCCGCTGTCCTCCGCTGTCCGCCGCTGTCCGCCCGCTGTCCGCCGCTGTCCGCCCGCTGTCCTCCGCTGTCCGCCCGCTGTCCTCCGCTGTCCGCCGCTGTCCGCCGCTGTCCTCCGCTGTCCGCCCGCTGTCCGCCGCTGTCCGCCCGCTGTCCGCCCGCTGTCCGGCACTGTCCGGCGCTGTCCACCCGCTGTCCGCCCGCTGTCCGCCGCTGTCCGCCCGCTGTCCGCCGCTGTCCGCCCGCTGTCCGCCCCTGTCCGCCGCTGTCCTCCGCTGTCCGCCCGCTGTCCCCCGCTGTCCGCCCGCTGTCCGCCCGCTGTCCCCCGCTGTCCGCCCGCTGTCCTCCGCTGTCCGCCGCTGTCCGCCGCTGTCCTCCGCTGTCCGCCCGCTGTCCCCCGCTGTCCGCCCGCTGTCCGCCCGCTGTCCTCCGCTGTCCGCCCGCTGTCCTCCGCTGTCCGCCGCTGTCCGCCCGCTGTCCTCCGCTGTCCGCCCGCTGTCCCCCGCTGTCCGCCGCTGTCCTCCGCTGTCCGCCGCTGTCCGCCGCTGTCCGCCCGCTGTCCGCCCGCTGTCCTCCGCTGTCCGCCGCTGTCCGCCCGCTGTCCTCCGCTGTCCCCCGCTGTCCGCCGCTGTCCTCCGCTGTCCGCCGCTGTCCGCCGCTGTCCGCTGTCCGCCGCTGTCCGCCCGCTGTCCGCCGCTGTCCGCTGTCCGCCGCTGTCCGCCCGCTGTCCGCCCGCTGTCCGCCCGCTGTCCGCCCGCTGTCCGCCGCTGTCCGCCCGCTGTCCGCCCGCTGTCCGCCGCTGTCCTCCGCTGTCCGCCCGCTGTCCGCCCGCTGTCCGCCGCTGTCCTCTGCTGTCCGCCCGCTGTCCGCCGCTGTCCTCCGCTGTCCGCCCGCTGTCCGCCCGCTGTCCGCCGCTGTCCTCTGCTGTCCGCCCGCTGTCCTCCGCTGTCCGCCCTCTGTCCGCCGCTGTCCTCCGCTGTCCGCCCTCTGTCCGCCGCTGTCCGCCCGCTGTCCGCCCCTGTCCGCCGCTGTCCGCCGCTGTCCGCCCGCTGTCCTCCGCTGTCCTCCGCTGTCCTCCGCTGTCCGCCCGCTGTCCGCCGCTGTCCTCCGCTGTCCGCCCGCTGTCCTCCGCTGTCCTCCGCTGTCCTCCGCTGTCCGCCCGCTGTCCGCCCGCTGTCCGCCGGTGGGCGATGTCAGGGCCGCTGCCTCCCGCCTCCTGGCTGTTGGCTCGAACCCGAGTGGCAGCTGGCTACCGAGCTGGACGTGACTCGGTGCCAAAGCTTCGTCCCACTCTCCCTCGGCCGGCTCCGTGGCTGAGCATCGACCTCTGAGCCAGGAGGTCAGGGTTCCCGGTCGGGGCACAGGCCCGGTTACGGGCTCAATCCCCAGTGTGGGGTGAGCAGGAGGCAGGCGATCCGTGATTCTCATCGTTGATGCTTCTCTCTCTCCCTCTCTCTCCGCCTCTGACATCAAGCACAGTAAAATGTAAAGAGAAATAAGGCTGTCGTCCCCAGCGTGGCCCCCGGTGGCCCGGCCCTGCTCTCCGGGGCAGGCGTCGGCGTAGCAGCCGCCCCCCCCCCCCCCCCGGCCGCCCTCTGACCGCGTCTTTGGGGTGCTGTGCTCCGGGGGGGCTTATCCCGGGTCACGTGTCCCCCCTGCCCCAGGCTCCTGGGAGGACCCCTCGGAGCGGCCCCGGGTGGAGGTCTCCATCCTGGAGGTTTACAACAACGAAGTGATGGACCTCCTGGCCGAGGACGGCCGCCTGGCGAGGCCCGGGCTCAGGCGCGAGGTGCTGACCAGGGCGGGGCGGACGGCGGCGCCCCCGCTGACCTGCCGGTGAGTGCCCCCGGCGCCCCTGTGACCTCCCGGTGCCCCCAGGGGCTCCTGGGGAGCGGCCTCCCGGCGCCCCGGGCCGCCAAGCCAGCCTTCCGCCAGACCTTCGCGTGACTTCCTGCTTAGCACACGCTCCAGGTCTCCGTGTCCTGAGAATGACCTTGTGAAGTCACAGAACAGCTGGCCGGCGGGCTCCTGGCTGAGCGTCTGCCTCTGAGCCAGGAGGTCAGGGTTCAGTTCCGGGTCAGGGCACGGGTTGCAGACTCCATCCCTGAGATCAACAGAAACACATTTCAGGATGAACTGAACGCTCGGTCCCGTGTGGGCGGGCGCGGGGGGCGCGGGGGGGGGGCAGTGTCCGGGAGCCGGCAGGGTCGGCAGACGCCCGCCCGTTCCCATTCTCCTCTCCCGCCCGCAGGCCCTGGGGAGCGCGGGGCGGCCGCTGGAGCTCGCGGGGGCCGGCCTGCGGCTCCCCACCGCCGTGCAGGCCGCCTCGTCCCGCTCCCTCCTGGTCGTCACGGTGACGCTGACCGCGGCCGCCGGGGACGGCACCCGCAAGTGGCCCTCCGCCCGGCCGGCTGGCACCGCGTCCGTCACGTGGGCGCCCGCGGGTCTGAGGCTCCCGCGGCCGCGCCCTCAGAGGCCGGGGCCGCCCCCGAGGCCCTGGGCCCGGGCTGCGGGGAGGGACATTGGGTGCGGGGGCGGGGAGGGGACCCGCTTTGCTCAGTGAGACGCGGGGGTGGGAGGGGAGGAGCAGGGCCAGCTGGGCCGGGCAGGTGCTTCCCCGGGGGCCGGCCTGCAGCCGGGAAGCCCCACACGTGCTTCAGCTTTAACGTGACGGGCGGTTCGGGCACCGCCGGCCGGGGAGGCGCCTCTCCATCCCTGGCTGGTGTAGCTCAGTGGATAGCGCCCCGGCCCAAGCCCGGAAAGGTCCTGGGTTCGATTCCAGTCCAGGGCATGCATCTCTGCTGCAGGCTGGGTCCCCGGCCCAGGCTGGGTGCGTTGGGTGCGTCTCTCACGGGGATGTCTCCCTGTCTCCCCGCTTCCACTCTCTCTGACCATCAGTGGGAAAATGCCCTCCGGTGAGGACTAAGCAAAGCAGCAGCAGCCTGGTCTTGGTTAGCACCGATGGGGCCTCTCCCGCGGGCCGCAGGCCTCCAGGCCTCCAGGTGGGGGCGACGAGGAGCTGCCCGCCAGCCCAGGACGGCCCTGCGGGGGGCGGGGGGAAGGGGAGGGCAGAGGGTCCGGGCGGCCGCGCGGCCTCGCCGTGGGCAGCCCTGACCATCGTCGGAGTCCGTGTCCACACGAGGGAGCTGGGCGGCCACAGACACCAGGCGGTCTCCACGCCCTCAGCGCAGCCTCTGCCGTGTCTGTTTTCCCGGCGGCGGCTGCTCGGCGCGGTGAGGCTGTGAAGAGTCTGTTCCCGACCCACAGGCGGGGGAGCGGCCGGCCTCCACGGCGGGGGGTGCCGCGTGGCCGGGTGTCGCCGGGAGCCGGGCCCGTGTCCGCAGGCGCGGCCGGTGTCTGCGCGGGTTCAGCTCCGTCACCGCCAGCCCTTCCCGAGCGGCCGTGGCCGTGGCCGTGGCCGTGGGACCGGCTGTCCACGGGTGCCATGCTCTCTCCCGGGCAGCTCAGGGCCACGTGTCCACGTGGGAGAGGAGGCCACGCGGCCGGCCCGCTCTGTCCCTGTGGGGTGGCGTTCAGGGGGCAGGCGGAGGCGAGGGAAGCTTCCAGAACAGCTGTGCCACTGTCCTTGCAGCGGAGCCGTCCCCGCCGGCAGCAGGGAGGCGGCCGAGTGCTCCCCGCAGAGCCCCACCCCGGCCCCCGGGAGCCCCGCCCGGCCGCCCAGCAGGGGGCGCCCGCTGCAGCTGGTGGACCTGGCGGGCAGCGAGTGTGCAGGCGAGCGGCCGGCGGCCACGGGGGCGGAGGGGGCGAGCAGCCGCGTCCGCGGGGGCGGAGGGGGCGAGCGGCCGGCGGCCACGGGGGCGGAGGGGGCGAGCAGCCGCGTCCGCGGGGCACGGCGGGCGGCCACGGGGCGAGGGGGGGCGAGCGGCCGGCGTCCGCGGGGGCGGAGGGGGCTAGCGGCCGGCGTCCGCGGGGGCGGAGGGAGGGGGCGAGCGGCCGGTGTCCGTGGGGGGGTGCCCGGCCCCCTGGTGAGCTGGGTGTGGGACACAGCCGAGGTGTGTGAGCTGCACTGCAGGTCCCTGGCACGGGCCCCTCCAAGGTGACCCCTGCACCCCCGGGCCATCCAGGGGGGAGGGCTTGGCTCCGTGAGAGCGCCCGTTGGTGGCCGTATCGGTGTCCTGAGAAGGCCTCCCGGGAGGGAGGGACTGTCTCCCAGTGCCCCTTGCCCGGGCCCCATTGCTTTCCTGGGTTGCGCCGTGTCTGCCTCAGTTTGGCCCAGCCTCCCCGTGCCCCCGGCCTCCCCATGGCCCCGGCCTCCCCGTGCCCCCGGCCTCCCCGTGCCCCCGGCCTCCCCGTGGCCCCGGCCTCCCCGTGCCCCGGCCTCCCCGTGCCCCCGGCCTCCCCGTGCCCCCGGCCTCCCCGTGCCCCCGGCCTCCCCGTGCCCCCGGCCTCCCCGTATCCCCGGCCTCCCCGTGCCCCCGGCCTCCCCGTGCCCCCGGCCTCCCCGTGCCCCCGGCCTCCCCGTGCCCCCGGCCTCTCCATGGCCCCAGCCTCCCCATGGCCCCCGGCCTCCCCGTGCCCCGGCCTCCCCATGCCCCCGGCCTCTCCATGGCCCCAGTCTCCCCATGGCCCCGGCCTCCCCATGTCCCCCGGCCTCCCCGTGCCCCCGGCCTCCCCATGTCCCCCGGCCTCCCCGTGCCCCCGGCCTCCCCGTGCCCCGGCCTCCCCGTGCCCCGGCCTCCCCGTGCCCCGGCCTCTCCGTGCCCCGGCCTCCCCATGGCCCCGGCCTCCCCGTATCCCCGGCCTCCCCGTGCCCCGGCCTCTCCATGGCCCCAGCCTCCCCGTGCCCCGGCCTCTCCGTGCCCCGGCCTCCCCATGCCCCCGGCCTCCCCGTATCCCCGGCCTCCCCGTGCCCCGGCCTCTCCATGGCCCCAGCCTCCCCGTGCCCCGGCCTCCGGCGGTGCCAGCGGCGTCCGGAGCGAGGGGACCGGCGCTGAGGGAGGCGTCCTGCATCAGCCGGAGCCTGGCGGCCCTGGCGGACGTCCTGGGGGCGCTGGCGGCGCGCGGAGACCACGTCCCATACCGCAGCAGCAAGCTCACCCACCTGCTGCAGGACGCCCTGGGACGCCCCGGTCCGGGCCCCGCCCCGCCCCGCCCCGCCGTCCTTCCAGGGATTGGGGGGGGGGGGGCGGGGCAGGACCCAAACACGGGGAGGGCGCAGCCTCCAGGTCTGGGGCAGCAGTTCCCAGGGTGACACTCAGGGCGTCTGCACCCAGGAGCCCCCTGGGCTCTGATCCCCGGGCCGGTGCCCAGGGACGCGGGAGACATCCTCCCTCACAGCGGGGGTCCTCCTGGTCTCCAGCTCCTCCTTCCCCGTGCCCGCCCCCCACCCCGCCCCACACTGCCCGCCCCGCTCTGCCCGCCCCGCCCCGCACTGCCCGCCCCGCCCCGCACTGCCCGCCCCGCTCTGCCCGCCCCGCACTGCCCGCCCCGCCCCGCACTGCCCGCCCCGCACTGCCCGCCCCCCACCCCGCCCCGCACTGCCCAACCCCACACTGCCCGCCCCGCACTGCCTGCCCCGCACTGCCCGCCCCGCCCCCACACTGCCCGCCCCGCCCCCACACTGCCCGCCCCGCTCTGCCCGCCCCCCCCCCCCGCCCCGCACTGCCTGCCCCGCTCTGCCCGCCCCGCACTGCTCACCCAGCCCTGCCTGCCCCGCACTGCCCGCCCCGCACTGCCCGCCCCCACACTGCCCGCCCCACACTGCTCACCCAGCCCTGCCCGCCCCGCACTGCCCGCCCCCCACTGCCCGCCCCCACACTGCCCGCCCCCCTCCCCCCGCCCCACACTGCTCACCCAGCCCTGCCCGCCCCGCCCTACCCGCCCCGCCCCCACACTGCCCGCCCCCACACTGCCCGCCCCCCTCTCCCCGCCCCACACTGCTCACCCAGCCCTGCCCGCCCCGCCCTACCCGCCCCCCACTGCCCGCCCCCCCACTGCCCGCCCCGCCCCCCCACTGCCCGCCCCGCCCCCACACTGCCCGCCCCGCTCTGCCCGCCCCCCTCCCCCGCCCCGCACTGCCCGCCCCCCCCCCCCGCCCCACACTGCTCACCCAGCCCTGCCCGCCCCGCCCTACCCGCCCTGCCCCGCACTGCCCGCCCCCCACTGCCCGCCCCGCCCTCACACTGCCCGCCCCCACACTGCCCGCCCCGCCCTCACACTGCCCGCCCCCACACTGCCCGCCCCGCCCTCACACTGCGCGCCCCTCTCTGCCCGCCCCGCCCCGCTCTGCCCGCCCCGCCCCTCACTGCCCGCCCCGCCCCGCTCTGCCTGCCCCGCTCTGCCCGCCCCGCCCCGCTCTGCCCGCCCCTCACTGCCCGCCCCGCTCTGCCCGCCCCGCTGTCCTTAAGGCAAAGGAGGTGCCAGTCCCTGGGAGAAGCGGCGTCCCTCCCGGGCAGCAGAGGGGGCGGTGTCTGCAGACCAGGGCCTGGGGGAAGCGGCGTCCCTCCCGGGCAGCAGAGGGGGCGGTGTCTGCAGACCAGGGCCTGGGGGAAGCGGCGTCCCTCCCGGGCAGCAGAGGGGGCGGTGTCTGCAGACCAGGGCCTGGGGGAAGCCGCTGTGGCCCCCGGCCCACAGGCCTCTTCTCTCCCGAAGGCGGCGACGCCAAGCTGCTGCCGACCGTCTGCGTGTCCCCCCCCCCCCCCCGCGAGCACGTGGCCGAGACGCTGCAGAGCCTGGGCTTCGGGGCCGCGCGCGGCAGGTGGAGCGGCGGGGGCGGCAGGGGGTCCGCCCGGCCCCAGGGGCCCCAGTGAGGAGCGTGGGTGCCTGCGGGCTCCGTCCTCCTGCTCCTCTGTTTCCTGCCACGAATGAATGCACGTGTGATGTTCTCACCCCGAAATGAACTCGTTTACGTCGGACGTGAAGCCCTGGTTTCCCCACGGGAACAGCCAGAGCCACGCGGCCGGGCAGCAGCGCCCGGGAGGCGGGTCCCGGGCAGCGAGGAGGGCCCTGGGCAGCGGGGACAGAGCGGCGCCGTCCGGGCAGAGGGGGCTCCTCACACTGACCGGCCAAGCTCCCGGGTTTGAACTCGGAGTCCGGAACCCGACCTGGGCCCTCGGGGGCTCCGTGTCCCCCACAAACTCCACGCCCCGGCCCCGTGTCCTCTGCACAGCGGGGTCTCCACAGGTGGGGGTCCCAGGACGAGGAGCCGTCTCTCCAAGTCCCGGGCCCGTGGGGACACGTGGCAGCTGGGCGGGCCTGTGTGCCCCCAGTCCGGACCAGGCCGTCCTCCCCCGG